TTTTGAGTGTATTTTCATAAGGTGTCCCTAGGAATTCTGCTAGGATGGATACAGGGCATTTGGCTCTGGACTGAATAATAATTTTATTTGTGCATAAGAAAATGACGCTGTACTCAGACATTTGTTTGGTTAAATGCTTCTGCCCCCCTAGCTATGAAACAGTAGCCACTAGTTACATAAAAGGGGATAGAACACATAAATTTGGAACCAGCTGTGCTCCAGGAGGTGGTGGCCTCCTGCTTTATTTATGTGAATCTTGCCTTGTGCTCCATCCCATAGGGTAGCAGAAGTTCTGATCATTTGTTTGGTTTAGGACCAGCATGGCTACTTGTGATGTGTACTGCAAATAACCCTCGGCAGAGAGACTGGTTCAGAGTAAAGAATATTCAGTACTGTGGGCAGTACTATGACAGGTTAAGCTTTTCCTTAGAGCTGTTTTCAGTTGTTACTTAAGATTTCAACTTTCAGTCAGCTTCTTTGAGAAGCACAAAATCCGCTCGTTACAAAGATTGGTTGAGTACTCTATAGGTTCCTGCTCTATTACCAAACTGTTGCCCTACAAGTCATATTTCTTGAAGTTCTGCAGATACTGGGATTACAGGGCAGTTGATCCTGGCTTTACTTTCTTACAGTTAGTAAGAGGGGATGTGTCACCCTCTGCCACCTATTTTCATTGCTTTGTAAACTCAGCTGCTACTGTTGCGGTAAAGATGTCCACAGATGGCCCTTTCTCTAATTACCCAATGCAGTGATCTGTTCCAGCCCTTAGCTTCCTGCTGTGCCTGAAATCCTTCCTATGGCTGGCCATTTCCTTTTTCTACTGATTCTCTGTTGAAGGAAGCCTCCAGGGTTCCCAGCAGTGAGATGGCATTCCTTCTTCACTTGGTCTGCAGAGTCTTTGCAGAGACGCCACCTGCGGAAGTGGGGCCGATGGCCTTGTCCAAGGAGGTGTGTGTGTGTCAACAACCAGGCATGGCAAATAAAGATACTGGATGTCCAGTTCAGTTTGAATTATGGATTAGCAATGGATAATTTTTTAGTCTAATATTAATAGTAAAAATTATTTGTTGGCAGTACTTGGGACATAATGATAGTCTGTTTGGGGGCACGATGATGTTGAATAATTGCTTATTATTCACATGCAGTTCGTATTGAACTTGGCAGTCCTGGATTTGATGTGCCAGTTGCATGGTGAGCAGCTATCAAGATATGCCTTGGCGTCTGACACCTTTGAAAAACAAGGTGCGGGCTGGAGAGTGACAAGTGCAATTGGGCATTCTTTGGCTTTCCAGAAGCACATCTGCCTCTGGGCCCTTCAGAGCTGCTCTTCTCCCAAGCCTTAGTGTGGCCCTTTCTCTTCCGGTTTCCAGAATGCGGTAGTTACCCCACGGTGCTCATGACAGCCTTTTTGACTCTTGAGGAACTCCTCCTGAAAGCACTGTTCTCCAAGTGAGCCATATCTTTGGCCCTGAGTTCGGATTCTCACACATAGAGCTTGATCATACAAGGTATGAACAAGACCATAGCAAATGCTGCTGCCAAGTGTCACCCAAGGGAAAGGCAGGCTTATAAAAACATAGCAGTGTGTGCTCATCCACCTTATTCACTAGATCTGCCATCTAGTGAACTCCTGGCTCTTCCCCAAAGTCTAAAGACCTTGAAAGGTAAACATTTAGAATTGATTCAGGGCATTAAGATAGCTACAGCAGTGTGCCAAAGGTCCCATGAAGAAGAGGACTTTTAGAGCTGCTGCTGAACTTGGCAAGAGTGATCCGATAAGTGTGTTTGAAGTGAAAGGGAGTGTTTCGGGGGTAAATGACACTGTGTCTTTAATAAATTTTTAAAAATATAAATATTCGTTGCATTTTTAAAATTATACCTCATAGGTCTTTGTTCTCAGCTCAAGCTTAGTACTTTGAAATTCAGCCCTAGGGTTTCCTCCTGTCATCCAGACATGAGGTTTGAGAGTCAAGCTTTGCTTGTTCCTCCGTCCCTTATATTTAATAACTAACTACATCCTGTCAGTCCTTCTTTCCAGTCTTTCACATCCTCTTTTCTTTCTAATTTCACCAGCATTTTTGAGCACAGATACCAGTTAAGTTGTCCATTTTTCATTGAAACTACTCTTGCCATAATTATTTACCATCATCCAGATTATTAATCACCTGATTGGTTATTTTCTCACCAGATCTGCCTCACTCCAGAGTGATGTGTTCCAGTTTCTCAACTGTTCATTTTTAAGATGTCCTTCCAGGTCTCTGTGCCTTAAAAATCTTTACTCTCCGTTAAATCACATCTTCATCTGTATCTGTGGCCCACAGTTGCTCACAGCGTATATATGGAGGGCTAAATCTGGTAAGAAATTCCTAGATGAAGGATCCCAGCTTTGTCCCTGAGGGTGTGGGGGTCTAAGCTGATCCATTGGGCTGCTCTGGTGCAGGTAGACCAGGTGGCCCAGACAGCATGTGCACTTGTGTGCCAGGGATCTATAGGCAGCTGCCATGCTCTGTCCACCTGTCACCCATGTCACAGGTAGGCTTAGGTCTGGGCACTGGGTGCCTCCCTGGCTGCTCGCCACCTGGCAAGCATCTTTCCTAATGACATTTCGTTTTAACCTTTCCTTTGAAGAAGGTTTCTAAAGCAACATTGTCCTCATAAAGGTCAACAAGAAAGAGTAGATGATATGTCGATAGAAGTGTGATTTGAAAGGCAGGAAGCCAGGTTGCTTAATATAACCAGGTTGGAGGGGTGAGCGAAAAAAAAAATGGCCTTGAAATTATCCTTTAATCATTTGTCTTTGGAGATGTAAAGTGGGACATGGAAAATAAACATTTCCATTCAATGTATACACAGTGTAGTAAAACAAATAACTGGGCTTTCTGAGTGTCAAGACCGCCTGGGGGCTGGGGATTTAGCTCAGCGGCATAAGCACCTGCCTTGCAAGCAGGCAGTCGTGAGTTCGATCCTCGGTACCGATAAAAAGGAAAAAGACAAAAAAAACCAAAACAAAACAAAAAAAACACCTCCTGAAAGCCGCGTCTCTTGGCTGGGCATCCTTGTTCCTCCTGAGTTCAGAGTGGAAGAACCCAAGGAGCAGCGTTATGGTGGATTAGGTAAAGCCGAAGCATTGCTTTTATTTTGATACACTGCGGCAGGAACTCAGGGCTTTGTGCACACGGCAAGAGCTCTACCACTGAGCTACCCCCCCAGCACACATTCTGTTTTTGATCCAAACTGACATGAAGGGGTCTGTGACTGGGCATGACCCGCAGCAGAGGACTTGTGTTTGCTTCACGGAATTTAAAGGCACATGCTGCAATTCATGAGGGCTGCCATCGATGCTCACATCTTCCAGCACAAGCTGCATGGCAGGCGCTTTGCTTGTTAGTGACTGTGCAAACCGGGGCATTCAAACACTGAAATACTTAAATTCAAGAATAAAAACTGAGTCATTATTATGCATTTACAATTTTCCCATTTTTGTATTTTTAAAAATTGGAAGACAATGTTAATATTTCTAAACAGTAGTCTTCAAATCTTCCTATCATTGGAATTAAGACAGGTGGAAATAAACAGAACACATTATTATTATTATTATTATTATTTTGTGGTGCTAGAGGTCAAATCCAGAGCCTGTGCATGCTAGGCAAGTGCACTACTATCAGTAACTTTATTTTTTAACTATGTACTTGTGTAGTGCTCTGCCTGTTATGGACCTGCCTATCATGAAAGTTATTTTGAGAACTTAATCATCATAGCACTTTATAAATTGGCCACTAGTACGATCTCATAGATCTTAACTAATAATATCACAAACATAGGACTAAATGCTGGATACTGTTAGCTGTGTTGATTCATTTAAGTGTCTTTGTCTTGTAGAGGCTAAAAGCTGGAAAGAAGTAACTTCTTTACATTTTGAATCTAGTGTAATCGGAGAGTTCAAACTCTGTCTTGCTTCTCTTAGAGGTCCTTACAGAAGGAACAAGGTGGGCCTGGGGAGGGATGTTGGTGTGAGCTATGTAAGGCATTATGGTGACTCATAGGAAACAGAGCCCTGGAGCTGAGACCACACAGCCAGGGGCCCCCAGGGTTTCAGATTCCTACCCCATCACTAAGGAGACCTAAAATGCTACCCGAAAATAATTCTATGCAGTGTACACTCAGTTCTACAAATCAGTAATATAGCCAGGCCGGTAGCAGGCACTAACACCTTCCTCCATGCTCAGTTCAGAGCAGAGGGGGCTCAGGAAGGGGTCTACCGAGCATAGGATAGTAGGCATTTCACTGTATGCCAGAGAGACCTTGTGGACTAACCTACCCCAGATTCACGCTCAGATTGGGTCCCCTGAGAGTTTCACCTGCTTGACTAATCCGAGTGATGCAGCTGTGCTTGAATGAGGCTGTCCGGGAGCTTCTCTAATACTAGAATACTTTTGCCTCCAGTCTTGGCTCTTTTTCTCGTTTAGTAGCATAACATGTCTGGGATGTCTATGGACAGACGAGGTGACAGCCTCATTCAGTGGTTGGAATCTGGCCAGCCCTGTGAAAGGAGCTTTGGTGGACAGCCGCCCTAGCCTCTTAGAGCTTGGATGAGCACCACTGAGCACCATTTGAGTTCTGTTTTTTCATTTATAAAATGGAATAAAATATATAATGTCTGTAACATACCAGCTGCTTAGATATCATTGAATGAGGAATATTTAAAAGAGTTTGTTTTGATAAAGCAGTGTGTTGTAGTGGACACTTAGATTCTGTGCATATTTTGGGGAGTGGATTGTTAGTATAGTGTTACTTGGGAGCAGCTCATACTGGAGAGGGGAGGTCTGCTCAAGAATTCTGCCGAGTCAAAGCTATAGAATCAATCCATTCTCTTTAGAAGTGGGCTTAGAATGTGTATCTGGGGAGTTGGCATTAATAGCCACAGACATCTGGAGCTCACTGCCCCTGTGGGTGTAGCCATCCAGGGGCCCTGCAGGGAATCGGTGGAATTTCAAACTGGGCAGTCTGAGTTGAGCTTAATGAAGCCACTACCAAAGGCAGGGCAGAGTGTTTTGCAATCCAGAGTTGTGAGAGAGGCCCTGAGCACCCAGAACCTACAGCCTGTAGAAGGGTGGGTTTGAGGACAGCTGGCTGTGTGAGTGGGCGGTCAGGCACCTGGAAGCGGAGGGCCCGGAGTTCACCTCTCTTGTTCTGGAGAGCTCGGGCTGCAGACAGGTGAGCCTCCATGTGGGGAAGGCTGAGGGGAAGGCTGTGTGTGGGCTGAGCAGCTCCAAGGACAAACGGGATGTGATTTTGGTCAAGCTGAGGACAAAAGCAGGTTAATAGCAACCCCAGGTTTCTGCTCACTTTAGACAAGGCTTGCTTAGGGACAAGGCTTGCTTCCTTAGGGACGGCAGGATGGCCAGACAGAGCTTCGTGTTAAAAGCTTTGAAGTGGATGGTTTCTGTAATAGTCTGCTTTTCTTTACTTAGCAACTTGAAGACCTGAGTTAAAGTGTTTAAGTCACTCGGTATATTTGCACTTGAGTTACTGGTGAAATAGAGGCATAGATCAGCTCAGGCTTAGCAAACGATTCTGTAGTGTTGTGTCTTAAGGATTTAGGTTTTGCAGGCTTTAGACCGTTTCTACGCAGTTATCATCTTGTTTTTGTTTTTCCTCTTTCTCTTTTTAATTCTTTTCTATAAATTTGAGGGAAAAATAAAACCATTCTTAACTTGAGATTATGTAAAAATGGAGCATGAACCATAGTTTGGTTTTCCTGAGTGTGCTGTGTGTGATTTTAGAGAATGCACACACAAGCATTTCTGTTTCATTGGTATCCTAAATTCTGATGTGAATTAGAAAAACACATCTGCCTGTAGCTTATAGCCTTTGGGGTCCCTGCAGGAAGCAGCAGTTTCTCAGACGGGGTAAAGGAGGTGAGTTTAGAATCTGGCTTTCAACAGTTGGTGCGCTGTGTGTTGTGTGTCCATTTGAGAGTAACATATAGTTTAAAAACTGTATAGATGATAAAAAGGTAGATTCCTCTATGGAAGAATTTTCATGACTATAGCTGTGCACACTGTCGATCAGGATGGATCAGATCATCTTCTGCTTCCCTCCCCTCACTGCCTTCCTCAGTTATTTCATATGTAGCTTGTTGAGACTTTCATACAGGAGGACAGAGCTACTCTTTTCTTTTTTAATTAGTGTATGTTACATTTATCTCTGGGAAGTGGTACATGCACATTTTAATCACTTTTACTTCCTCGCCTCACCCTCCTGTTCCTCCAATTGCAGATCCCCAGTGTCAGGGCATGGAGCGCCCCGCCCACTCATGACCCCCAGGGGAGAGCAGTCCCTGGAGGAAGCTCTGAGGCATAGTCCACTCCCAATTGTAGGGGCCCTTCAGCCTCCAGGAGTTCAAGTTCTGTGTCCCCACCCATGCTCCTGTGTGGAGCTGTAGCAACCAGCTGGCAACTTAGCAAGTTTCTCTCCAGTCTGTTAAAATACAGCAATCCAGAGGCTAAGGCTTGTGAGTTCTTGCTTAACTCCCTTTGGTAATTACGGGGCTGGCACAGGCAACTTCCTCCTTCCTGGGCCTGTGCCACCCTCGTGGGCTCCAGGCCACCTCCAAGGTTCATTTGTCTCTGTGGGCGTCTTTGGAGCCATTGCTGCGAAGTTGCAGACACCTGTGTGAGGGAAGATGTGGACTTGTACCCACTAGCTCCACACACCCAGGAATGCACAGGAAACCACCTGTCAGCTGTGTTGGAACAGCCCAAAGGCCACCAAAGTACGGCCACCAAGCCCTGGGCACATTCGGAACATTCAGTGCAGGAAGGGTCTGTAATTTTGTGTTCCCCTCAATGAGCTGTGTCTGGCTTCCCAGCCTTGCTGGTAAGGGATTTGCCCTGAGAGCCACTCTGAGGGCTTTAGGAAATAGGACTGTTTTGGGGCTAAGAGACTTGTGTTCTCACTACCGGATGAGTAATTACCTCAAAGACTGTCATTTGCTATAAGAACCCTGGACACAGGCAACACCCTGAGCAGAAGGGTCCCTCTGCCCTGCATCCTGTTTGGAGCTGAAAGCTTAGAAACAGTGTATATCACTCATTGAAACCAGCAGTCTGGCTGCGTTTTAGTATCCCACGCTCTGGTACTACCCTCACCACATAAAATACTCAAGTATCAAGCCTGGAGCTTACGTTCGTAATGGAACAGAACAACAGAAGGTGCAGCAGGCTGGTGGGCAGCGCGTATTAAAGAGCTGATTTCACAACCCTGAAACTCAAAGCAAAATGGCTGTTAAGGTAATAAGTGGCTTGTGCCGATGGAGTGCAGAACCTCTTACCAGCTGTACCAGGAGTCGTAATTATTGATTTGGGAGGAGTAGGTGTGTGATCTGACTCAAGTAGATTGAAGTATGTGGGAGGAAGTGCAGCCAAACTGTTCGGATCCTCATGGTGTGATCAGTAGGAAAACTATATTGTGGTCTCCCGTGGAGTGGGTGCCTCTTAGCTTCCCAACAGTGTTATTAAATGCAGTTTACACACACAGTTCACCATTTTACAGTGGCACAATTGAGTGGTTTTAGTATATGCACAGGGTTATGGTACCATCATTGTAATTTTAGCACACTTCCATTCCCTGGCCTCCACCTTCCATTCCCTTCTCCCCATCCCGAGGCAGCCAGGAATCTCCTTTTTGTTCTCTATGTAATGTAATAACCCGACTTGTGGGCTTTGTGACTGGGTTCTTTCACTTAGCATCGAGTTTTTGAGATCTCTCCATGTTGTAGCTTGTATTGGTACATACTTCATTGCCTTTTGTGGATAAATAATATTTCACGTTAGGGATCTGTTACTTTTTTGTTTTCTGTTCATTTGATGGCCATTTAACTGGTTTTCACTTTTGGGCTGTTATGAGTCGTACTGCTGTGAACATTTGTATGGACACATAATTTTCATCCATTTTTAGTACGTCCCCCAGAGTGGAATTGCTGGTTCATATGAGCCTGTGTTATCCTGTGTTGAACCTTTATGTGTAACTTTCTGAGGAATCTGCTTAATTTTTGAATTTTTTTTTTTAACTGGGAATCGAACTCATGACTGCCTGCTTGCAAGACAGGCACTTATGCCACTGAGCTAAATCTCTTGTTTTTGAATTGTGCATGCTTTAAAATTGTGGTAATATACCCAAAGATGTACCATCTTAACCATTTTTAAGTGCCTGGTTGATGGCAGTAAATGCATTGACATTGTTATAACTCTCGCCATCATCTTCCTCTTGTGTTTTTACCTTTACTTTTTTAATATATGTTTTATTTTTCATTGCTGGGGATGGGATCCACGACCTCACACGTGGTAGACAGGTGCTGTGTGCCACTGAACCACACTGCCAGCTCGCCTCTCTGGTTTGGATCAAACAGCCCATCCACGTCATTTCTTGGGTCCACAAGAGGGGAGTTAATGGGTTAGACTTATCAAAAAAGGTGGGTTAGTAATAAGGAAGCTCCATGACTTTCGTGAACTGTGGCGGTCTAGATACTGAGATGGGTCTGTGGCCTAGAAGCACAAGGGTCCCACTCAGGTGCTGCTGCTTTTTTCAAAGCACCAGCTAAGAAGGACAGGGTGTAGGAGTGAGTTAAAGAGGCTGCTGAAGAACTGGGAGAGGACCACTGTCTGCTTCCCCGGGAAAGCCTGGGCGGGGTGTTTAAGGATCTTCCCGTTTGCCTCTCCAGGACACAAGTAGGAGTGAAAGGGCTTCTATCCACATGGGCCCTGGCAGGTGGTGCACGGTCCTTGATTTATAGGGGAGTAGATAAGCGTGGGGGCGGGGGGGGGGAGTTTAACCCTCTGTTTTTAGGGAAAACCACCTGTAAGCTATCTTGAAGAACGTTGGCCGGAGACCAGTGGTGGTGAACCTTTTAGAGACCAAGTGGCCAAACAGCAGTCCCAAACCCACTTATCTATCGCAGGGTGCCAACAATGCAATTCAACCTGAATACTGAGATTTTAGTTTAGAAAAAATACACATTAACATCTTTTGTCTTGAAAGAAGAATGAATAACATGCGTGCTGTAGGTTGGCTACCATGCCTTAAACCCTCACCAGCAAAGCTCTGGCCTCAGCTCCCTCCTTGCTGGGCTCCTGGGAGGCTGGCACACTTGCTGTATGTACCTCAAGGCTTTGAGCTTCTTCAGTCCCCCACTCCCATCCGGGAAATGCCAGCCTCAGTCTTTGCTGAGCACCCCAGCCTGGGTCTTTGCACCTCCCCCAGGCAGCCTTTCTGTCTGTGCTGCTCATTTTGGAGGCATCTCCGCTGTGTGCATATTATGTCCCAGTATTTCATAAGTAGCTTTCTTAACCTTCTTAGCTATATGGACGCTTTCTCACCGCAAAGACTGTTTTATACTCTTGGTTAAGTCGTTAACAGACGGACACATCAAATGTCTAAATTCAGAATAGGAACCACAGTCTGTCTACCTGAGCAGCTCATTAATGAGATAATTCTTTTAAAATGTTGGCAACCCATGTAATTAAGAGCTGATTATTCAGACATCAAACAATTCTTAACTTAGACGGAAGGATTTCCTTAAATAGCAGCTCCCCCTGGCTGCATTTATCTATTTGTGTAGCTCATTAGCTATTTGGCAGAGAAATCTCCAAATGCCAGCTAGCAGCCAGGGCAGTTGAACAGAATGAATGAAGAACCAAAGTGCTTCTGGAATTATGTCATCTATTCACAGAAACTCTTAGAGGATGTATTTATATCCGAAAGTGCTCACTATATTTATACACATCATCTCTTTATTTTTGACTCAGTTCTGTAAGTTTGGCAGTCATTTCCTTGTTGGAGAAATGGGGAAATTGAGGTTCAGAATGAATTGTTCATGCTCATTCCTCTAGTCAGTGGTTAATGTGGGACTGATACCAATGTCACCTAAACCTTTGTTCCATTGCATCTCACTGTATCTGCTAAGTGGGACAATTCTCCTGTCTAATTAAGCTTTTACTATAATTGCATTATGGGCTATTGCCCCAGGGGACCTATAAAAGTCTCATGAGGACTATTAGTGGTATTAAAAATAATGGAGTGTTAGACATGCTGAAATTTTAGGCAAGTTTTTGCTACATACCTATGCTACACAACTGGCCTTTTCATGTATAAATTGGGTGCAATCATGGGTAACATCACAGACTTGATTTGGGTATTAAGTGAGATTACAAGGC